CTGTCTGCTCCGTCCTGCTGCTGACGGGCTCTGAACTCAGACCTCAGGCCTCCCTGGGTCTGCAGCGGAGGCACATGGCCATTTGCCCCCAGTCTGCGGGTACCGAGAAGCGAATGCTCCTGCACAGCTACCCCGCGGGTCAGCACACTGCTTTTCCGTTGGCTGCCCCCTGGCCTGCCTGTGGTTGGTGTTCCCTGTTGGATGCCCACGTCTTGGTTGGCTCATGACTTCTGGGTGCAGTGTTGTCATGGCTCCAAGAGTCAGAGCTTCACAAAAAGCTGTGTACCCAAGGAGGGGCGGCCCATCACGTAGCCCCTGCCCCTGCTTGCTACCTGGGAGGTGGTGCAGAGCAGGCACCCTTTCTGCTTGGTGCCTCCGGGCACCATGTTGCCCCGCTGAGCACTCATGTGCCTTGGGTCATGTGGCGTGGCCACAGGCGGGCTTCGGTGCAGAGCATTGGCCCTGGGGCCCTGGGGGCATGTCCGGGCCAGCTCCTGCAGTGGGGTTGTGGGGTTGCAGGCCTGGCTTGTCACCTGTGGCAAGGAGGCTAGCCTCCCCACAGCCTTGCCAAGACATGCTGCCGCACCGTGAGGCTACTGGTGTGGGCGATGCTGACGTGGTGCCTGGTTCTTGTGGGTGCCGGTGGGTGCCCGAGAACAGACTGCGTGGGCCGGGGTCTGCTCTGGTGGTCGCTTGCTGGTGGTTTTGCAGTGAGTGTGGCAGTGGGCCTCGTGGCTAGCGCACCTCCACAGCTTTGATGTGATCGGTATTCTCTGTCTCGTGGTATGTAAGTGTCCGTAGGTGGCATGTTCATTTTGAATTGTGACTTGGAGCATTCAGAAGTCCCACCCGTTTGTGTTAGTGGGTCACTGTGACCAAAAGATCTGACAAGAACAACTGAGAGAAGGAGAACTGTTGGACTCAGGGTTTCAGAGGCCTTGTTCTGTGGTCAGTGGAAGCCCTTGCTCTGGGCTCAAGGTACGGCAACGTGTGATGACTAGCTGTTAGCTCCCCGTGCCCAGCGAAGGTCAGGGACAGGAGGTGTAGCCCCAGGCTCACCCTCCACCTGCCTCTCCAGCCACGACCCACTCCCTGCAGTGGACCCCAGTTCTCTCAGAGCACTGGCTGCCAAGTGGATGAGCCTGCCGTGAGGCCACGGCCCTGCAGCCCATTCACTCCGCCTGCACTGCCTCCTGTGGGCTTCCTGGGGAACGCTGCGTCCAGTCCACATGTCCAGCCTCCACTGTGGGTTTGAGGCCCACATTGACTGGCCTCACAAGTGGCCCTTGTTGTGGGGGTCTGCAGCCTGCAGCAGGAAGGGGACGGTGCTTCCTGCTCGGCCTGGGTGCGTGTCCTCCAGGCTCTGGTGTCAGGAAGGCTGCTCTGTGCTCTGTGGCCCGTCCAGTGCCCTCCCCTGCTGTGGTGTAGCTGTTAGCCACTGTACCTTTTGGTGGCTGTTCTCTAGCTCCCCTTCCCCCCCCCACTCTGCTGGCTGCCAGCGCCAAGGCCCCCCTCTGACCTGCACTGCCTGGCCTGGGGTCTCCCCTCTGCAGCCTTGTCCCTGGCCTGGTCTCCGAGGAGAGTGGGTCCAGCTGTTCCACGCTGCCCTGCTGTATTTGGGCTGTGCAGCCTGGTGACAGGCGAGGATGCCCTGAGTGCCCTTGCATCTTGTGGTTGGAGATGCCATCTGAGAAGTGGGACCCGCCATTCTGTGCCCTTGCAGTTATTCCCTGTCTCCGCCCGCAGGCTCCTCTGTGCTGGGCCGACCCTGGCTGTGGGCTGGGGTCAGAATTCTGGGGTCTAGACGGGCTTCCAGCCTCAGGTCGGGGCCACACCTGCCCCCTGCTGCTCAGGTCCTCATCCCTGGTCTCTCAGCCCTCTCTTCCTGGGCCCCGTCCCTCTTCAGAGTGGCTGGCCTTGGCTTGGCAGGGATTTCCCACCCCGCCGCTCCCCAGACGGTGTGCCCTCTCTCTCCATGCTGGGCGCTGGGCACTGGGCTCCCTGCTCCCTGCTGTGAGGCGGTGGCGCCCTCTGCTAGCAGTGCTGCAAGTCCAGGCTGCCAGGGCAGGGTTTCTGGGTATTCGGGGTGGGACGCTGGCACTGACTACATGGACTCTTGTCCTGGGGGACCAGCAGCTCCCCTGCACTCCTCTCCCCTTCCCTGCCAGTGGTCAGGGGCTCTTCTCAGAATTCTCCGTTTCCATTTTGGCCCTCAGAGGCCCCTTCAGGCCTTGTGTTAGGCCCTTCGCCTGTCCTGTGCTCCCATACCAACTGTGCCAGTCTCAGGCCTCTCTGGACTGGCTTTCAGCGCGCGGGGCCCCTGCCGTATCCCCCAGCTTCTTTGCAAGGTGGCCTCGCTCGGGAGGTGGCGGGTGGTGCCCTGGGAGCCGTCCTGCGTTCTCCGTCACCTGAAGAGTGGTGCCCCTCCAGTCTGGGGGTGGCATGGCCCTTGCCCGTCCCTTTGCTCAGTGCTTGGAGTGGGTGGTGGGAGGGCCGGGCCACGGCTGACCTTGTTTCAGCTGATTTTCTGAGCATTGGTGGGTGTCCTTTAACCTCCCCAACATGAGCTGGACTCTTGTGGGACAGCTCAAGCAGGTGAGGGGTCAGGGTGGCTGCCAGCAAGAGTCAGGTGGTGACAGGCAGATGGGGGCTGGGGCCGATGGCCACCCTCCCCGGGAGCTCGTCCTGCTGTCCTAGGGCTGCTGTGGGTGTGGGCTCCAGCCTGTTGCTTGAGCAGGTGGAGAATCAGCTTCATCTCCACACTCCCAGCAGCGGGCCTCTCTTCTCAGGGCAGCGCCCTGAGGCACTGGGGACACGCCGTACGGGGGTGTGCTGCAGCAGGTACTGCTCCCTTGGGACATGAAGCCCCCTTCTGTGGCTGCACCTGCGCTGGCCACTCTGGACAGGAGGACCCCACAGGAGGGTCCTTCTGTGGGCTTTATTTCCTGGGCTGAATTTTACAGTGGAAGGTTGGTCTCCTTTCTTTGGCTTTTTGAAGGTGCTCAGGCTGGCAGGGTGAGTGTTGGTGTGCCGCATAGGGCAGGCTGGGCCGGGTGCAGGGAGGGTTGCACGGGCTGCTCTTGCTGAGCAGCAGAGCTCCTGGCAGGTAGGTCACAGCTCTGGCGGGTGCTGGGACTCGCCTGGGTCCTCTGTCCTCTCCGCAGACAGTGCAGAGCCACCTGCTGCAGTGGGCTGCGGGCAGAGCCCCAGTCTCAGTGGTGGGGCACCTCTTGCCCATCCAGGACCCTGTGGTGTTTCCTGCCAAGGCTCCCCCAGCTCTGGGGAGCTGTGAGATGCCATAGGCCAGGTGACCTGCTTGGCAAAGTGGCGAGGCCTGGTCTGGACCAGGTGGTCAGAGCAGTTGCTGTGCCAAGCAGCATGGGCTCCAGCCTTCACCTCTCTCCTGCAGCCCAGAGCTTTGGCTGTAGTCACAGAACCCTCAGAGCCCAGAGTCTGTGGCTTATGGGCCATGGCCCTTCTCCTCCGGAGCTGGTGGGGGGTGGTGCTTTGCTCCATGGCCACCAATGCCTGGGCTGTAGGTGGCCGGGCAGTGGGCTGTGCCCTCTGTTGGCGCTCACACTGGTTGTCAGCCAGTCCTGGGCACCGGTTTTGATGCTGCTCTTGTGGTTCCTGACTTTGCTCCTGAGGAAGCCTTGCCTGTGTGCCAGCCTGGCGATGTGGCCAGGCCACGGGGACCTGCCCACCTGTGGCTGCAGTGGTGCCTCTGAGAGCCCAACGCCATGGCTCTCTCCCTCTAGCCCCAGGGTCACCAAGACAGCCAGCTCTTGTCACCAGGCAGCCTCTCCAAGCGAGGCCGGCTTGGCCCACCGTGGAGGTCTCGTGCTGAGGGAGGCCTCTGCATTGCCCAGGCGACCTAGTTCTCATTCTCAGGAACCCCAGGGACGTGGCCAGTCCTCCTCCCCCTGCCCCTCACTGGCTTGTAGCTGGTGTCCAGGGCACCTGCAGAAGCCCGCCTCCGCCGTTTCTGCTTCCTTCTGCGTGTGGATGTCCACCAGCCATTTGGAGGGCTCCGTGGTCTACAGGAAACCTCTGGAGGCATCAGGAGAATCCCAACTTCTTCATCCAAGAGGAGGTGGCCACTGAGGTCGTGGAGGTGGCTCAGAGCACCTGGGGAGCAACCTGGCTGGCTTTGGCATGATGAGCAAAGAGAAGCCATTACAGCCTGGGCCACCGTCCATGCCAGCTGCCTGGCCTGCCACCTGCTGGCCCTGGGAGACTCTGGCTCCTTTCACTCTTGCTGAACAGCAGGGCAGTGCCAGCCCCAGGTGTGCTGAGTTCACCGGAGCAGCCCACTTCCCACCTCTGGGGATAGGCCCCCGGGGGGCCGGGGGGGCGACGCCACCTGTGGGGGGTTCTGGAGCTCGCACTTGGGGTGTCGGTATCGGGGGGGGGGTGGCGAGAAGCAGCTGCTGGACACTGCTTTTGGGGATCCTGCACATTCCATACCAACCCGGTAGCTCTTTTTCTCTGAGCCAAAGGACAGTTGCCTCAGGACAGCTGGGTGGGGCCCAGTGGGGATCACCGTCTGCAGCTGGCCGCCTCTGCTGACCCACAGCTCGCCTAGCCCAGGAGCTCAGACCTGGTGCCTTTATCAGTGCATCAGGGTGACATGGCCCAGGTGGGGCTTGGATGTGGGCCCTGGGCAGCCTTGCTGTGGCCGCTTGGAGGTCGGGCTGCTGTCCCGGGGCCCGCCAGCTGCTTGCCTTGGGACGGAGTGCTCGTCTTTCTCTTCCTCCCCCCAGGGCCAGAGTGTGATCCTTGTGGGGCATCTAAGGGTGGTGGTCTGAGTGTGTGCTGTACAGTGGGGGTCTCTGGCCCTGACCCCTCCTAGATAGGGACTTGAACTCATCAGCTGGAGCTCTAGACCTGCTGGAAGGAGCCCAGGCCGTGTCCGGGTTCCGGGGACCCCGGGGCACTGAGGCTGCCTCCTCCGTCTGCTCTGAGCCCACTAACACCTGACTTCTCCTCTCTCCTCACAGGGCTCGGGCCCCGGTGTGGCAGTTCCAGGCAGCTCCGGCGTGGGAGCCCCCAGGCAGTTCACTCGGCAGAGAATCACACGGGTCAACCTCAGGGACCTCATATTTTGTTTAGAGAACGAGCGCGAGACAAGCCATTCACTGTTGCTCTACAAAGCACTCCTCAAGTAACACAGGCTGCCGGTGTTTCTGACAGAGACGCCTGGGGACGTTTTTATATATTTGCAGATTGCGCCTTTTTGTAACAAGCAAATGGGATATTGTTTAAAAACAGCCACCTCTTTGCAATGGAACAGTTTTATATTCCAGTTTCTAAATCAGCTCAGTGTGGAAGGAAACCTCTCCTGTAGCAGAGAACACAGGCCTGTGGATGCTCCTGAAGGTCAGCTACGCCCCCGCTCATCCTCGACTGAGTGGCCTTCTTGCCAAACAAGCCATATTAAAGACTGACGAGCCGTTCAGTGACCGCGCTGCCCTGCCAGCTCGCACAGCCCCAAGTCCTCGTGCATTTTGGTTTAGTTCACCTAACGTACCACGTAGGTGTCTGTCTACAGCCGATGACCTCATTTCACTTATTTTATTTTTGTAACAGTCAGTTGGCTAAGCAAACTGATTTTTAGACTATTTATCTTCCTCCTCTTCCCCACTCCGCTTGAAGTTCTGCAGGAACGTGCGGTTTACCGCAGCACCGTCACCTCGAGTGGGCCCGCGGTCCCGCCTGGTGGAGGCCGGAGCCCAGCAAGCGGCCCCTTCTGAATGTGCTCAGCATCTGTACAAATGCATTTTATTTGCTACAGTTTGTGAAGCTGTAAGGTTAAAAGAAATGAGAACTTTTTCAGCATAAATATATTTTACTTGCACTGTGTTTTTTAGCTAAAAGTGAAAACTTAGATTAAATAAAATCAAAGTTGAGAAGAATCATCAAAAGACTGTTTCTCAGTGTGAATCAAGTGTTGAAAAATGGTTGGTGTATTTTGTCAGTAATTGTACATAATCTTTGGCACATAACATGAAAATGGCTATGTAAACTATAATTATTTTGCTAAGAGACTGTATGCCAGCCGAGGGCCGACTTTACAGACCCCAGAGCAAAGCCCCTTCTTTGTACCTATTTTTTTATTACAAATATACTAATTGGTTCTTTATATTTTCAGAGGTTATTGTATTAAATTGTCTATTGATAGTACTTTTATGACTGTAAATACTTGGGCTTTCTCCGTGTGGATCCTCACGTTAGACTTCAGTCTGCGCCTGTGGACTGAAGGCTGATCAGTATTTTTTATCAGCACCTGAGAACTGTTACACCTTTTATTTTATCTTTTAGGAAAATCCCTGTCTTTCCATTTTTTCATGTAAATTTTGCACAGTTACTTGTTCATATGTAAATATTTTACTTTCAAAAATGAAGTTTTTAATTGCTATTGTTTTATATAGGATTGAAAGAAAATTAACTCCTTTATTAAAAACAAATCTATCTGTATCTGTTCTGCCTCTTCTTCAGCCTCCCAGGTTTTGCTGAGGTGGCCAGAGACTGCTCTGGTCCTGTCCAGGTGATGGTGACCCCAGTAAGTCCAGTGGGAGTAAGTTTCCCTCCCAGGACTGGGCGTCCAGAACCCTGCTGTCCAGCCCTGGGCCAGGAAGTGGGCTCTCCCCTTCTGCCCTCGGCACCCCAGGGAGGCCGAGGAGGCCGAGACAGGCCCGAGGACACACAGAAACCACCCTGCTGGGTCCCAGTGCTAGTGCAGACCCCTGGTGGGCAGAGGGGGGTCCCTGGGAGTGGCGGCCCTGACAGGGTACACTGCCTTCCCAGCACCTCAGGTGGCCGCTGCCGGTGTGGGTGGAGCTGGTCCCAGTGTGGCCACACCCTGCCCGCCGTGGCCTGCGTGTGGTGGCCCCTGGAGGCAACATGCCCATTCTTGTTCTTGCTGTCTGTGGTAAGGGGCCACACGTGTGGGGCCTTGGAGGACAGATGCTCTGCCCCCAGGCCTGGACACTGGAGCACTACCAGCACATGGGCTTCCGAGGCTCAGAGCTGCCGCTCCGTGGTGTTCACAGGCAGGTAGGAGCACCGTCCGTCTCCACCTCTCCCTGGCCAGCTTTCACCCCGTCAGGACCCCAGTCATTAAAGTCACCTGTAAGGACCCCGCGCCAAAGGGAGCCACATCCTGAGGCCCTGGAGTGGAATAGATGCAGTCCCGAGGCCCTAGGGTGGGGTTGCCCCATAACTTTTGGGAGGGTCACTGTGAGAACCACGCTCACCTGTCCAAGCCGAAGAATGGACTGAGAGAAGACGGGAAGAGGGAGCTTGGCCTTAATGACAGTCTTGCAAGGTCAGGGGTCCTGTGGTCGGGGATACACAGCTTGGGCACAACCATGTTTTATTCCCTAGAGTGCAAGTTCCCTCCCCCAGTTCCTGATGGACACTGGGCTTTATTTTTCAGAGACAAAGTTTGTAACACGTGGCACTGCAGACGGATGAGACTGGACCCAAGGAGGGGTGTTTTTCTGGTACTGGGCTTGAACCCAGGGGCGCTCGGCCACTGGGTCAAGCAGCATGACAAGGACCCCACACTGGCAGTTGCCCTCGGGCACACGGGCCAGAAGGAAGGAGCCAAAGCAGGTGTGCAAGGTGAGTCCAGAGTGCAGAGGGAGCCTGCACTGAGCGCCAGCACCATGGCGGGCTCCCCAGGTGGTGGGCACGAGGCACTGACAGCAGGGACCTGGAGCACAGCACAATGGTGTCTGAGGTCCCTACTCTGGGACAAAAGGACCCAGAGAGCAGGCGCGTGGAGAGGGCCGGGTGCAGCTCAGTCCTGGAAATGAGGCTGAGTCTAGAGTCACCTGGAGGTCAGAGCCTTGGGATGCCCAGGGGCCTCAGGCAGTGTGGAGACTGCCCTCCCATGCCTAGGGACAGTGTGGTGGTGTGTGGGAGGGCACGGTGGGTGACGGTGGCACAGAGCAGTTCAACATCTGCCCACAGGTGGAGGTCCCTAGACCCTGGACGGAGCAAGGGAGGCGTCTGCCCACTGTGGGCTTGTGCAGGGACAGGTGCCCACGTGCCCTTGGGGTGGGTCGAGGAACCAGATGCACTGGCAGAGGTTTTGGAGGAGAGGCTGGGGAAGAGCTTCCGGGCTGCGGTGCCAGGTTTCTAGGGATGCGGACTCTGCCTGGGCTCCACGGAGGGCACCCAGGGCCAGGTTGGGCCTTTGGATTTCTGTGGTTGTGAGCTGCGCTCCGTGGGAGGGGACTGGCCTGTCTTTGAATTCAGTGAATCCACAATGCACGATTCACATAGGTGGAGGCACAGTGGGAAGGCGATCGGTGTCTGATTTTACCATGTCAACAGTCTTGTTCCAAGAGACGCACACGTGATCTCCACTTCGGTGGTTGTTTTGTTCTGTTCTGAGAAAAAGAGTGGCACATAGATTCCTTGTCTGAATCTTTTAAAAAACGTCCCTGTGCAGGTGAAATGGCAAGCCACAGGCGTGGAGAACGGCACAGGGTGCATCCCCGGCCAAGGACCCAGGGCCCACAGCAATGTGCGACGTGGGAACAGGCTTGGCACCGGCCTTCAGAGGCCTGCAGGTGGAGGCTGTGAGTCCACTTGTCCTGCCCGGCACGTGGTGGTGGCACTGGGCTCACCTGAACTCCCTACAACCCCTTTGGGAAACTATTTCCCTCCTTCCTGATGAAGTGGTACCAGGTGGACCCTGAGACCCAGCGGCTCCACCCCCGGTGTCGGCTCAAGAGTGACAGACACAGGGGAGCCTTCACCCTGCCTGGCCCTCCGCAGGTGCACGCAGGCCGGCTGTGCAGAGCCAGAGGAGCACCCGTGGGGCCCAGCAGCACACTGTGTGGATGGGCGGCACCCAGCCTCACACCCCCTTCCCTTTCCTTCCCTGATGCAGGAGCAGCAGGACGTGTGCCACGGAGCCGCTGCCACTGCTGGTGGAGGGGTGGGCTGGGAGGGCGCGAGGGCCCTTGGGAGATGACCTGGGGGTGGTGGTCACACAAAGGTGTGCAAACCTGGAAATCAGGTGACAGGCACTGCGTGTGCACTCATACCTGGCAAGATGCCCCAGGAAGGGTGCAGGACTCTGCCGTAGCTGGAGACGGCCCTCCCCGCACTGCAGGGACCTGGCACCAGAAGGGTGAGGCTGGCAAATGCAGCAACCTAAACTCCGAGACCAGTCCTTGTGCTGGATGCCCCTGAGGAGGGAGGAACAGATGGTCCCTGGGATGAACGCTGCTTGCTTTGTACCTAACAAGACTTAGAAGTAAGATTGCCCAAGGGGGAGATGTGAACCAAGGTAGCTGCAGAGCGTCCCCCAGTGAGACTCAAGAACATTGAGTCCCAGGCATGCAAAGACCAGGAAAACGGAATCCCGGCGAGGAAACCAGCAGTCGACAGTGACCTGAGACGTGATAGGTGGCCGTGGTGTGCGCGCCCACCCGGAGTCACCACCTCCGGGCTGTGCATGGGAGAAGCTGGGTCGACGCGACTGCAGAGGCAGAGACAGGTAGCAAACAGGGAAGGGGCCCCAAGGCCCCAGGGAGGAGACCCGACCTGTGCATGTGAGGCCCTGAGGAGGGAGAAGGCCGGAGCCTCAGGCTGCGCCGAGAAGCCACCAGAGGCCGCACTCGGGCACAGGCAAGGGGAGCCCAGCGTCAGCAGCCACAAGAACACCCCTAGCGGGGAGGACAGAAGTCCCCAAAGGTGGAGCAGAAGATATTTGAATAATGGCTGAAAAGTTTCCAAATTTGATGAAATCTAAGAAGCTCAATGAATCTGAAACCCAAGAAACATGGGGGCAAACTCACAGGCACATGACCACCCCTGGAGGAAGGAGAGCTTCGAGCAACAAGGACAGGTGACAGACAGCTAGAAACAGGACACAGGGGACGAGGTCTTCAAGGTGGAAAGAAACAGGATCGATTTCTTCACCCTGTAAAAACGTCTTTGTTAGGAAAAGGCAAACTCTGGATGGAGTCCTCCCATCAGACCTGCCCACAGAAGGGCAGAGGCCACCTGGGGCGCCGCCCAGGGCTGAGGCCAGCCCCCCAGACAGACCCAGAGTCGTGCCAAGTGACGGAGGAGGGCAGGAGGAAGAGAAGGACACGCGGAACAGAGACCCCAGGAGGGGAGAGACTGACCCAGCCCTGGAGCCCCATGGAACCTGGCAGGGCACGCACCTGGAGGTCCAGCCGCTTGGAGGCCCAGGAAGAGAGCGGCAGCTTTGGGGCCAGCCCCGGAGACTCAGCGAGGCCCTGACTTCATGTAGAACAAAGGGCTGGGGTGCAGCTCGTGGCACAGGGCCCTGGTGCAGCTCCCAGCACCAAAAAATATAAACAAGGAGCTCCACAAGCCCTTCCCCTCCCCAGTGCAGGTCCCAAGAAGCCCAGGAACCTGTGGTGAGTCCTGAGGACCACTGTCCACGCACCTGCTGGCTTCTACCTCGTGCTCTCTTTGGACTAAACAAAGCCAGAGAGCTGGAGCCGGCCACTGTGGCCTGTCCTGAGCCCCGGGTGAGATTCCAGCTCACCAGGCTGAGGCCACCCGGCGCTTCTGTCCACTCTCTACCAGGTTTCCTTTAAGGGAAGAGCCCAGCTTTTCACTGTGGTTGTGTCCGGCCGGCTGCAGGAGCCTGGGGCCTATGAAGTCCAGGCCCCCTTTCCCCTAGGAGAGCACACAGCAGGGGGAGCCTGGCTGAGCACCAGGGCAGACACTGCAGGACAGAGCAGCCCACTCAGCTGCCCCATGGAGCATGGGCCTCTCAGGGCCCCGGAAGTGCTGCCGCCCACCTCGTTGCCTCGCTGAGGGACATGGGCTGGACTACAGTTTCTAAGCTGGTGGCAGCAGCTCAGCCCACAAGAAGGCTCTGTCCCCAAGGGAAGGTCAGTCCTGAGGACCAGTGACCACCTCAGTT